ACTCGTCAACACATCCAGTAAATAGTATATGCTATAGAATAAGAAATTAATTCTAACTGTGACAAATGAGACGAAATGAATGAGAAAAACTCATCAAGAGAACGATATTCGTATGAGACGAAGTGAATGAGAAAAACTCATCAATAGAACGATATTCGCAGGTAATAGCTATGAGAATGAATACAACACGTCCGAAAAGAATGAGAATCCATCTGATTCAGTATGAAGTGAGCATGTCATAGACAATAGCTATTCGTGCAATCAGAAGAATAATTTGTTGTACGCCGCTAAGAAATTTCCGGACCGATTTTCCGTTTGTTCCTGACTTCATACATAGAAATGGTAAATTCTTGTATGAAGGGGAGGGGGAAGGTGGGTAACGGCGGCCTGTCAGATCACTAAAAGGGGTAGTGGAGCACCCGAACGTCAGAAGGACTTTGCTAGTGGGTATGATGCACAGGAAAGGTGATTGACTACTGTTTGGATGATGAGGTGACTCTTTGCAGAAGCGTCACTAATCTTCTCGGATTCTGGTAGTATCGAAGAGCCGCCCTCGAACCAACAAGCTCATCCACCGGATGAGCAACTCTCAGCCAATAGTGCTATTCTATGCGATACTCACGAGCATCAACTCACCACTGTTCACAGATCAGTTGACGATCTTCGCTTGAACAGGTACTAACTGTCGTTAAGTTCTTCATTTTCTGTTCTATTTCAGGTCTGTCTCTGTGCAATGAAACGAACATCTTTTACGATTCTTTGCCTCACAATTAAACGTGAATTCAACAGAATACCAAAATACGTGGTGTTTAATATTGCACCAATTCAACATAACAACAGCAATCAATCGCACGCATTTCAATGCGATCTCACACCATATTTGTCATCCATTGTTTTACGCCGTGTCATGCATGTGCCAAATGACTGTTTTATTCAACAAAATGATGAAATAAATATTTTTTGTGAAGACTGCCCGATAGCATATTATGCATTGCAATGCACATGATTATGTGCAAGAAGTCAATGTTCATATTGGTTTTGTTCATACAAATAACTCTTTCATTATTCATTGCTTTCATCGTCCCTGAACAACCAAATCATATCAATCGCCAACGTTTTCACTCCTCATTCGGCATAAATATTTGTTATCATCGTCATTTTTGTGTCCTATCATCTTTCATTGCATCACCTTATGTTACCGATCATTTTATCAATCGTATGATGATCATAGGATGTTCTTCATTCTTTGCGCTCTTCATTTGAACTTATGAGCTTACAAGAAAATTCGTGTATATTTTAACGATTGAACTTCAAAATGTTTAGTTTTTGGAACGTTAGTCCGCAGTCAGAACCGTTAGTTGAATCCGACAAGAAAAAAGAAGTTGTCGGTAGAATCTTCAATCGAGACTGGAAGCATCGACAGCTGTTTCGACGACGTACACAAGACAGTGATCCAGTATCCGGTTTACATCATCGTTTGGTAAATTCACTTTCGTTGTGATTCCAATCGATCGTACATCGTTCAAAATTTCAGTTTGGTCATCGACAAATATCCATCACAGTATTACTAAATCTAAATAAAGCATAACTTCAGACTGAATTGATGTTAGTTTTCACTCAATTGCAGCATCCAAGTCGATCGATTCCGGAGATCGGCTCGCTGCACTTCAAGCATTCAGACGATAGCAGTGACCATAGGAAGCTGACAACGGTGAGGTACGTTGTTTTACGGAGGACGAGGGCGATACTTCAAAAGTATCTTCAATTTTATCATATTGGCTCAAACTCGTAACCACAATGTCAGATATATCGGACTAACTGCACTTCTTTTGCTTTTTTTTTCTGGATGAGGGGACGGATGTTAGGCGTTGAAGAGAGCAGGAGCTATTTCCGTCGTTTGGATCTCAAGGCAGTTGCTTTTACTATCGTTATCCAACGTATTCTATAGTAGCTTCCAGCCAACATTCTGGAAATTTGAGAGGGAGTCTCATTTCGACGAGTTTGAGCCATACGATTTTCTCACTCAATATCTCTAGCAATCATTTCCTTTCTACCCGCATACGGGCCTCCTTCAACTCAAAGAGGAGAAGGCTGGTCAATGTTTTCTTTGAGAATATTTTCGAAGTGATCGATGAATTCTTATGAAATTCCATATAAGTCATGTGCGTGAAGTGAATCACTTTTATGAGGGCTTCAGTGGTGCTCCAAATTCTTTTTTTGGTGTTTACATATTTTTGATATAGCGTCATGTCTTATCTTCGATTCTGTTATCAATTTTTCATTCGATCTTGACGTTTGTCATTATAAACGCTGCATCTATCGGTATTTTCATTGCTCGTAACTGTTCGGAGGTGGTGTAGTCCACTGGTTCAACTGTACTTTCGTAACCTTTTTACTCGCACTCTTCTAAAATATAACATATTTGTTTGCTTGGCAGCAATGCTCAGTGATTCCATTCTCTTCGCTGTATTTTAAGTGTTCTGATCGAACCAAGCATTCTTTTTGATCATATATTAAAATGTTTCCATTTTAGACTAGAAATTCCAACGGAAATGATCACGTATCACGCGGATTACGCTGGTGGTGACCAGCTGATGACGAGTACACTCGGTCGTCGATTTAAACAACCGATACCGTTCGGCACGTTTTATGGCAATGGAATGTAAAGTTTAACC